TCGCCATGGACCTAATGTACCAAATGAGATCTCGGTTTGGCTTAAGCAAAATTTCACAGTATCGTTTCAATACATAGGTTTAGTATTTAATTAATCAAGTTTTATCCACATTGCCTATTTTTCTACTGAACTCTGCCAAAAACATTCTTTGGCAGATGGTAAAATACTGAAATTGTTGGCTGTAAAATCTAAAATCTTAGAGATAATTAGAAGACTTGATACAGGTAACATTTATTAGTAGTGAAGTTCTTGACAGCATGGAGACTTTTTCAACCCACACAATTTCTAAAGGGAGAAAAACTTTTTCTGAATATGGATTAAATTATGTTTCTGTGACACAATGGGAGAAATATACCTCACAAGGCTCAGCTGGACAGTTGCTGCATGGAAACACTTTCTAAGCAGAGAAAGGAAAAAAAAATCCCTGTTAAAGGAATCTTAAATCTCAAATACGAATTTTGTGAAGTTAATTCCATTACTAAGCCACAAAAGTGTTTTAAAATTGTTCCCTGTTCTGCTTAAACCAATGTCAAGCTCACTAGTTAAAAATTAGCATCAAGAATAATCTTGGTAATCATTAAAGTAGCTGTAAATGAATAAACTGTTTGCAAATCATCAGTTTTCCTTCTTAGCACAAGCATTATCTTAGCAGGGAAGAAACCTGTACAGGGACATTTGCTAGTCATAACAGCTTAATGATTTAAGATTTTACCATTTCTCACACACTTTCATATGTGAGCTACATAATGGACCCACCTTTCCTTCATCGAGGCACTGTACAGCTTCCTGCCATGGTGCAATCAGGCAATGCCACTACTTACTTGCTCTACAGAATAGACATAACAGCATTGGTGACATCTTGCCTTGGGGTTCAGAGCACAGAACAGTACAATTAAGGTCCTGTGGCCTAACTGCGGACATACGTTGTCTTCTGAGGATCATTTTTTTTTTTTCAAATTGAAAGAAACTTTCAAGATCCGTTGCATTCTACCATCTTTTATTAGAAATTAACAGATGCTTTGTGAGGTTCAATGGCTCACACAGATGATACCCTGGAGGGACTGGGGATTTAGCTCAATGGCCCCGCTCCTGGCTCGCAAGCATCAGGTCCTGAGTTCAATTCCCAGTACTGAAAGAAAAAAAAAAATGATACCCTGGAAAGCTTCAGAATTGATCCTAAATGATCTGACTCCCAATATGATGTTTTTATTTTTGGTCTCATCACAGTTTCAAGTGCATCTGAGGAAGCATCTACCAAGAATCCCAAAACTAGGAACCAAAATTGTGTCCTGCAGATACACTGAGGAGGGAATAACAAAGCTAAGTAAAACTTCAATGCACACTTTTTTAAAAGTTAAAAATTTAAAACCTTGGGAAAGCAGGAAGACCAAGAGGAAGAAGGAAAGAATGGAGTTAGGGAGGCTAGAAGATGGTGAGGAAGGGAGGTGCTCATTTTCTTGTTTTTCTAGTTCAAATACAATGCTCTCATAAGAGAGAACTTCAGAAGAAAGTGATTGACAGCCCTTCAGGACATATCAGGTCATCAGTTCAGGATGTATCAGGACAGATACCAGGTACAGCTTAAAATAACAATAATAGATGAATTTAAAGTAAATTCAGGTGCTAGAGTAATTAAAGGTGCTAAGGAACAATTCCTTGGAATTGGAAGTCATGGTAGACTACAGCAATGGTAACAGTGGATGTTCATTGGGCTCCTCACACGCACGCACTGTCCCAGGTGCTCTACACAGCCTTGCTGTGAGGTGGTCAGCAAGGCTGCAAGAAGTCAGTGTTTGTCTGCTGCAGAACAGTGAACAGCACACTTGGAAATGGAACTCAGGTTTGATTGACAACTCATAATGTTAACCCCTCTGCAACAGAACCTTTCTCTAAAGCAAAGATAATGAAATAAAGGTAAAACTTATCTTTAAGCAGTGAGTACAAGCTTTTTCCATACAGTACTAAAACAATTATGAAAACATGCCTGATCTGTAGTAGTGGAAAACTATATCCTGTTGGGGGGGGTAACAGATTAACATGTAAAAAAATGATATTGTGAGGTGGTCAAAAGAAGAAAGAACAAAAGAATAAAAGAAGTAAAGAAGGGAAGAAGAAAGAAATGAAAGGAGGAAAAGGAAGGGAAGGAGGGAAAGTAGGAATAGGGGAAAGAGAAGGAAAAGAATAAAAGGAGAAAGTGGGGGAAGCAATAAGACGTCTGTATGGCCATGCAACAGAATAAACGTGAAAACATGCTAGAGACCACTTTCGAAAGCAAGAAAAATAATAGAAGAGTAATATTAGTAAAACCAAGTGCAGTGGTACACACATTTCTAGCCCTTTGAGTGGCTGAGGCAGGAGGCTCACAAATTCCAGCCAAGACTCTGTCTCAAAAATTTAAAATTTTTAAAGGAAAAAAAAAATAACAATTTTAAAGGGCTGGGATATAGATCAGCGTGATGCTCTGGGTTCAATCCCAGTAACACAAATAGAAATAAAAACATGCAGAGTACTTTTAGATAAAATCTTTAATATCTCAGATAATAACCATTATTAACCTCTTGGCACTTTATGACTGTGCCTGTGTGCAAGAAAAGATAAATATAAATATATATATTCAAATTTATAAATATTTATTGCTATTTAGGTGGTTGTGTTTAGAGGGGAAAACGTGTCTGCTCTAGTTTTCCTTTGTTTGTTGGTTGGTTGGTTGGTACTGGGAATCAAACCCAACATCACTCTACCATGGAGCTACACTCTTAGCCTTTTTTTATATTTTGCTTTGGGACATTGTCTTCATTAGTTGCCCAGCCTGGCCTCAAACATAATTCTGCTTCAGGCTTTGAAGTAGCTGGAATTACAGGCATGCACCACTACATTCTTTTGTGAAAATCAAAAAAATATAAACTATCAGCCACTGATATATGTTATGAATAAAATGTTATCATGATAAAAGAAAGAGTTGTGGAGATATTTATATTAAGAGCTGGAGAAAGAGTTCATATTATTCAAAACTATACACACACACACACATACACACACACACATAGCAAGAGATGGAGAGATTGAGACAGAGAACATAATGCTGGTCAGGAGATAGAAGAGTGGGAATATGAATATGATGATGATGATCAGGAGATTCTGAGCTGAAAAAGGCAGAAAAATGAAAAAAAAAAAACACTGGTGAAAGAACATACTCTAGTAGTTCAGGAATATCAAGAAAATCAGCAAAGCTTTTAGATGAGGCAAGAGGTGAGAATCATCAAAGATTAAAAATTGAAGAAACAGGCAAGACTTTGTCGTGTTTACAAGTTTGAACTTCTTCCTAAAAGTTGTTGGATGCTTTTGTCAGATTTTGAGCAAAAGAGTGACATAATTTGATTTGCAACTTCAAACTACCACCCAATCATTACATAAAAGAGTAAAAGCACTGGGGAAACCAGTCACAAGGCCGTTGGAATGTTTCAAGTACAAGACAATGGAAGCTTGGATTTGGGTGATAGCTAAAGGAGTGCTAGTAACTGTTTCGAATCATACAGAGCCACTAAAGTTGGAAGAGAAGTGGAATATTATGAGAAAGACAAAAATTAAAGGTGAATTCTGAGACTAGAGACTGAGCATCTGAGCAAGAGATGCCCATTAGTGAGGTGGGATACTTGGAAAAATATTTGAAGGTTCTATTTTGGATCTACTAGATCCCATATGTCTACTGAACACCTGGGTAGAACTATCTTGAAGATTCTTGGGAAAATTCAAAGAAGCAAAGCTAATAGTACGAATTTGGGAACTATCAAAATATAGATAATATTTAAACCATGAGTCACATGAGCATAAGTTTAACAAGGGGTATGTGAAGATGAATCACTGGAAATTCCCAATATTTAAATTTAGGGAAGAGTAGAATACTATGTCAGCGGAGATGTAGAATAAATATTTGGATGGTAGAAGAAGAATTCAGAGGGCAAAGTTTGCTTAAGGCCAAGTAATGAAATAATTAAAAAAAAGAAAATTATCAATGTATTTAATGGGAGAAGGAAGAGCGAGGAGACAGATGTTTTGACAGTCTTTCAAAAACTGGAAATCTAGTGACTATTCATACTTTTAGCATTTTCTTCTTTAATTTCTGTATAATGTTCAAATCAAAAGCCATTTTGAGAAAAGTTTTAAGGTTGTATGGTATAGGCATAGGAAAAGAATTTCCTGATAATCCCTTACAGATTCCCGAAGTAAAAGTCATAGGTAAGGGTCTGTGATGCTCTGAGGGCACAGTCAGTATGAGCTGCAGAAGCACAGAGGAGGGGAAAAGAGCCTCTCGGGATCAGCGTCTTTGACAGTAGCATTAGCTGCTCCTCAGACCATCTTTGTGATTACTCACTAAGCAAACCCTTTAAGCAGACTGCAAAAAACTCTAGAAGGCTGGGGAGCTGGGCTGACTGAGAGGGGAGGAGAGGGAAGAGGTGGAAAAAAGGTGAATCTTGCCTCTTTCCAAACCTTGAATTGGCAGATGCTACCCACCAGAGGATTCCACCTGTTTGCCATGAGAAAGTGCCCAGTGAGAGACAAAGTGTATGACTACTGAGCATGCCACCTTTGTCAGGCCTGCCAAAAATTTGCAACTATAACTTCCGTTATATCTTATTGTCGAGAACTTCTTAATCATGTGGCAGTTACTCTGGGTAGGTTGAAGGGTCTAGCCATTTTGTTTGGTTTTGTTTTGAGCTGAGATTACTGCTACTTTAAACAAAATTTGTATTCCAGATACAAGATGGTTAAAATTTCAGTAAATGTTTACATTTTAAAAATTTATTACAGTAATATTATGTTGACATTAACCCCTCTTAAAAAACTCCTTCTCAGTGTGAACACACTGATCCCACCATTCCTGCCACTTTCTGAAGTAGTTCTGGAAGTCCTCTTTCAAGAATGTCTTGGTGAATGCATAAGTACTGCAGACTACCAAATGCAAAAACAGGCTTGTAAAAATATTACGGGGTGACATCATCCACCTGGTTCAACAGATCTAGCACCATGGAAACTTTGGCTCTTCTCCAAAGTCAAAATGACCACAACCATGAAAGCAAACCTTCTGAATCCATTCATGACGTCTATCCCTGAAAGAGGACTTCCACAATGGTTTCAGGAAGAGGCAAGAATGACAGAGTAAGTATATTGAAGTGTGCATGTGTGTGAGGAGGGTATATTTAAAGGGGCTAATGGCAATTTCTTTTACTATAATTTTTTTAAAAATTAAACACACATCATGCTTTCCAGTCATACTTCCAGGAATAGAAAGACAGAACAACTCCAGAGGCTAGGAAGTGGGCAAACAGAACTGCAAGATACACCTGTGTTTCTTATTTCAGTCCTCATGTCTGATTTGTTTTTCTTCTTATCCTACTGCAATTTTGTACTTGTGTTGAAAATGTGGTGCTTTATCATACAGGTCTTTACCCATATCCAATTCAGTTTGCTAAGAACACTCTATCCCTTTTCATTTTATCTGGCTTAATTATTCTGATACCCTTATTCTCAGCTAAGGTGTTGCAGTGAACAGGAAACTTCTTCCCTCTTCCCTTCTTCCCCTGCAGGTGGTCAAAACAGCCCATTTTCCTTTGATAGAACAAGGAATATCCCTGAAGGAATATCCTCCCCACACTGTCCCATCTTGAGGCATGGGCTGTCATAACCTGACATGTCTGCAGAGGGAGTTCTTTTGTTCAAGTACAGGAAGGGTTTTAGTCTATTTCCTGCTGGTATAACAGATTATCACGGACCAGGTAATTGATACAGATGCATCATTTGTAGAGTCCACAGTTCTCTAAGCTGTGAAGTACAAGAGCATGGCACTAGTGTCCAGGAATTGCCTGTAGGCTGCATCATAAGATGGCAGAGTTCATTCGGAGAGACAACAAATGTGAGAGGGTGAGAGCAAGCAAGAGAATATAAAGAAACTGGAACTCATCAATTTAACACCAACCCATTCCCAAGATGCTGGCTTTATCCATTCATGAACTCAGACCTGTATGACCTAAACACCTCTGGAAATTCCCACCACCTGATATGGTTACAATGGCAATTAAATTCCAAAGTGAACTTTGGACATTAACTTCATAGCATTCTGCCCTTAAACCCCCAAAACTAATCAGCTTCTCAAATACAACATGCATTCATTCCATCCCCGTGGCCCCCAAAGTCTCCAGTTATTCCTGGATGGATTAAAAAATGCAAAGTGTCATCTAAATTAGATAAAGATGATTTTCAAAGTATAAATCATTCTGATATAAATCCCTCCAGCTATGAGTCTAAAGGGCTTGAATAAGAGTGTGCTGGGGTCACTGTTGTCTTCTCCCCAGGTAGATCTTTCATGGAGGTTTTGAAACGTGGTGCCTACATCCAAGAGAGGAAGACAATAAAATAGTGGAAGACGTTAAGAACAGGAAGCATGTCTAACACAGGAAATTTTCTTGCTCATTCCTACCCGACTCGTAACTACTGACAAGAATCTAGCTTTTTCTCAAACTGAATCATTTGTCTATCTTGGATTTGACAAAATAGGTTCTATTTGAGGGAGCCCTTTACATTGTTCAAGCCAAAAAATATGGTGGCTCATTATAAGAGGAAACTTTTAAAAATTTTCACAAGATAGATGTTGCTGGGTAAAAGAAAGAAAGGAGAAGCAAAAAAAAAAAAACAAAAAACCACAACCCCCCGCAAAAAAAACCCATTTCCCAGCTTTCTGCCCAGTGTGTTGACCTGAGTTCCTGTCTTGAATCACTGCCATAAAATGCTGCTATGTCACTGCATTTGTTCGGATGAAGAGTATTCTTCTGGAATAAAAAACCACACCCCCGCAAAAAAAACCCATTTCCCAGCTTTCTGCCCAGTGTGTTGACCTGAGTTCCTGTCTTGAATCACTGCCATAAAATGCTGCTATGTCACTGCATTTGTTCGGATGAAGAGTATTCTTCTGGAATTTCTCCTTAAAATGTGCACATCTTCCACTCTGTATTCCCTCCTCTGACCTGCTGAATTCACAGAACACGGGAGAGGCCCTCACACTCTCACCTAGCATGGTGTGGGTGCAGATTCATGGCCTTACTAATTCATCCAAACAAATGCTGTATTTCTTCTTTCTCAGTAGAAGTAAAGGAGAGACTTGGACTGAGATAAACTGGCTTCATCACATCTGGACAAGATAGATACTGCCTGGGAGAGACAGACAAGGTTTGGCTGCCCTTCTATTGAAAATACGTGTCTAACTTTAGCTAGTAAACCCTTCAGCCTTAAAGAAATATTGAATTCATAGTTAAGACTGGGAAAGACAGCAAGAACTGATCTTCTGTTTTCTCTTGACTTTTAGAGCAAAATTCTGATATCTTAGATACATAGTCAACTTCTGATCAGTGATGTGAACACAAGAAACCTTTGATATGCATGACCCAGAACAGTAAATAATTGTTCTTGGGATAGATAGACTACGTTATTTTCCTCCCATTAGTTTATACTTCTGCTCTGATAATGAGTTGCATAATTAATCCAATGATGCTTTTTTACATTTTTATAACTCAGAGGAGGATGGACTTTTATACTTCATACTTTGTCATAATTTTTATCTAGCACTGTCTTTGGGGATGATTTTATTAAAATATTAAAAATTATTGGCGCATGTCTATAATCCCAGCACTCTGGGACTGAGGCAAGAGGATCACAAGTACCATGATAGGCGATATAGCGTCTTAGAAAGTGTCTCAAAATGAAAAATTAAAAAGCAGCAGGATGTAGCTCAGCATGAACGCCATGAGTTCAGTCCCTATTTGTGGTGGATTAACTCATGTCAACTTGGAACGCCCAGCCAAGCTGAATCAGCATGGTTCTAGGCACAGAAGGCCCGCCTGAGGACACTGCCAAGAGCGTAAGAGAACAGTTGACTTTCTTGGAGAAGCTTGCCATGAATGGTTTTCCTGATGTGAATTTGGCTGTTCTCATCATTGTCAGAGAAGCTCGGGTTTTCTCTATCACTGGGAACGGCTGCTATATTCTTCAGGGAAGTTCTGATCCCTTGAGCATCACTCTCTGGCTCTAATGCAGATCCCTCATTCTGGTGGCAAAAATTCTTCACCCTGCTGGCTCGGGCTGCCTGGCTTCCACCACTGGTCTTTGGGCCTTCCTGGTACAGATCCTCCAAAAGGACTTGCATGAGACATTGCCGTAGGCTCTAGGCCATTAGCTGGACTCATAGGACATCCAGGCTCTTGTCTGGATACTTCGGCTCTCTAGTATGTGGGCAGATCTCTTGCACTCTCTGCATCTGTCTTTTTGGGTGAATATTATAAAACGGTCCTATAAATTATGTGTCCTGTATTAAATCTATTTTCTTGAAAACCCAGACTACAGCACCATTACTGAAAAAAAAAAAAAAAAAAAAAAAAAAAAAAAACATAAAA